GTACAGCCCTGACAAAGCTGGAGCAAGGGAACACGGAGGGGCACAGCCTGGCTCTCGGCACAAATGCACATGCACGTCAAAAAGGAGGTCCGGAGAACCAGTTCATGCCTTTGGGGGGGAAAAAAACCCACCTCGTTCTCGATCAGCCTCTGCTGCCCACTCTTCCTCCCTTCGCGAATTCGATTTTAGTGTGACTAGTAAATCGGTGTGTTTTTCTTGAAAGTACACCTTGGCCAAATTAAAGAAATAAAATTTGTCTAAGACTACAAATTGGTAGTGGCAGCCCCCACACAACAGCATACTTCCAATTTAGATTTTAAAAGTACTATTATATTCCAGTTTCTGCTGAAGTGTCTATTTTTAAACTACATTTCCTCTTAAAAAGATAAAATGCTGCTTCTGCTAATGTAAAGCTTTTTAGAAACAGACAATCAGCTGCACTCAAGTACTCTCAAATGTGAAAGTGAACAAATGTACTTTCTTTCCAGTTTTGAAAACCGAAGAGTGGCTTGTAACTATGGGTATAACTTTTTAAGAAATACAGGCAGCTTTCCATAAACCTAGAGGGGCCAAGGACAGGGGAAACGTGACACGTTTGGCTTACAGATGTCAGTCCACTGTCTTCCCAGTTCCAAAGTGTGGAACATTTTCATGACGTTCTCTGGTGGCTACCAAACGTGGTGCAGACCCTGTAACATCGACTTCCAGAAAGTTTTCCCTCAAAACCACAGCAGGTAAAAAAAAACAACCAACCAACCAACAAAACCCCAACCAACAATCTGCAAGGATCTTTGATGCAGAGATTGCCGAGACAATCAGATAAACTAGTCTTCAAGATAAATAGGAGGAAGTGCGGCAGAGTAAGAGCTCCCACCTGTAACACGGAGATAAGCCCTTCAAGACAAATTCTGACCCCAATGACAGGAACATGGCAAGGGTTACCTCCTAAGTTGTCACAGGGGGGTTTCACATTCGTAGTAGAGTCAGAGTTTGCCTGCCCACATACACGCTTGTCCCTGGTTTGCAAAGCTTCTGGCCATCACGCCATTTTCTCAGGGCAAGAATTTGGCCAGATCTGCCGGTGTTCCTCCTCCCTTCAGCAATGCACCTTGCAGTGTTCTTCCTCCTCCCAGCGACGCACCTTGCAGCTCTCGGCGTGACTGTGCCCTGCTTCAAAGCCTGGCTTCACTCAGCTCTGGCAGCTCTGGAGGAGCTCATTATGGATCAAAAAGTTCAGAAACATGGAAGCAAGTAGCTGTCACAAACTGGGTCAAAGTAGAAATTCAGCATTACCATCACAGGGATGGGTTTCTTTCCGCAGACATAAACCAGAATGTGTAGTAATTGTCTGCTGTGAACCAGAAACTTCACTCCAAGTGACATAAGTGCACGGGCATCCATGAGACGCTGCGAGTTACACCAGTGTATCCAATTCTTAAAGGAAATCTAGGAATGGATATTTAATTTTTATCTGCATTGCCCTCCAGCATCTGAATGAAACACACTTGGGCTAGGTCTGTCCAATCTTGGCCTTAGACTTCTTAATGCAGACTTCTCCAAGATGCCAAAATATGTGAATATTATCTGTCTTCAATCTGAAACACTCTGCATAGTGTGAACTCAGCATTATTAAAAGCCCCCAACCCCATGTTTCTTTAATGAAAACGTACATGAAGCAAAACCAGATTTTGGCGTAGTCCCAGACAGAAACTGTACCTTTAGCAATTATCAGATGTACGGTGACCCCCGCTTGCTAGTTACTCCAACTGTTAGTGAAGACCTTGTCCCAACTCCCTTCTATTGGCTTCAGCAATGCCAGAGGGCCATGTTACCAGGTAGCAATGGTCTATGCGAGCAGGCCTGGGAAGGACTTGTCTTCCCTAAGAAAAGTTTTGCTCTGAAGCAGCAAAGTTGCGTTCTCGCTTAACACAACTTAAACACAACTGTGTCACTTCAGACCCACTGAGCACGCCAACCAGTGCCAAAATGCAGGAAGACAAAACCCCAGCTACATGAGACGATTTCCATAGGACTGGTTGAACTGGAAAGGTCCAAGTTCCAGCTAAGAGGTCATAACCGAACCATCTGCAGAAAACACAAGCAAGCAAATATACAGACATCAGTAGATGCAGACAAGTGGTATCACGTGGAAGCGAGCAGACACACTCACTTTTTCTGTGAATACCAGGCAATTAGGACAAAGGTAGTAGTCATATTCATTGGTCAGCAATTAAGTGTAGAGCCCTTCAAGATAAGTTAAAGCCGAACAAAGGAACGTTGCCCGTACCCTTTGTGCCAGAGACAGATATTTTGCTCAGTGACGCAAAGTCAATTGCAAGAGCACATTCAGCCCACAATGAGCAACAGAGAATTGTAATCCCTGCCAAGCCAAGACCTCTGGATATCAGTTATCTGGTCCTTCTTCAGCATCAGCTTTTTGTGCCTTCCTAACTGAGAGATGCCACAATGCCAGCAGTCTCCGAGTTCTTCCACCAGGTTCTTGGACGTAGGTCAACGTGATGCTACCTTGGAACTGCAAATCCCACTTTGAGAGCAACATCATTGTTCTTCATGACAATGACGAGCACTGCCAAGGCCAAGAGCACAGCATCTGTCCGTATGAGCCCGAGAACCATGCATCTTCAGAGTCGATGCTGAACTCCATGGCAGTCAGCTTGCAAGTCCATACTAGAGAGCACGGTATTTAGTCTAAACAATCAAGCAACAAATGAAAGTTTTGAAGGGTGGAGAGAGAAAACACTCCTATAGCTTTACGTTTATTAAACCTATCATGGTTGAAAAGCAAAAGACGAAAAACATGATATATTTTTGTTTATTATTGCTCTTAAAGGGCTTGGTAGTCAAATATACAAGCTATGTTCTATTAAACCAGAAGAAAATAAGATATAAAATCTATGCTCACTTTTCCAATCCAAGCCACTCGCTAATCTTCATTAGTCACATTAACTTCAGCTATTTCCAGTCATTTTAATTTATACATACTCTGTGTACGTGTGCGCGCGCGTGTGTATAAAAACCCCTATTTGAGGAGATAAAATTCAACATGAAGAGATTTGTGTTGGTTTTGTACTGTTGTGTGCATTGCCGTATATTTCAGTTTTCCAAATGGTTACTGATATGTCTGTTTAGAAGAGCAAAATTTAAGTAACTGATGATGTATTTATTATATTTTCAAAAAGAAAGCATAACGAATAAGTTATGATAAGAAAATACGAAATGTTGATTATTCTCCCCTTGATGTACATGCACTAATCCCATGATTCCTAATAGGGAGTTACATGCACTAAGAGGAGAAAAGAATCCCGTAAAGAGAAAGGCTATTAATTCCCTTCTCCTTTAAGCATCTCCCCTCTTCTCAGCATTAAGAAGGAACTTATTTTGTGAAATTCTTGTGATGTCCATTAATATACTGCTCAAAATATAATTATAAAACATAGTCAATGGTCAGCCTGCTTTGCAAGCCTTACTCTGCTAAGCCAGTACAATTGATATATACTCAGTATCATCTTCAGGAAGCAAGTATACAGCATTTGTAACATCTTTCTAAGAAGCAAGAACTATATCCATTACTGAATTACTTAAGAAAAAAAAATAAAGAAAGAAAAGCCCACTGCTTTTACTCTTCCAGTTAAAAAACAGGGAAAAGTCAGAGAGTTATATTTATCAGCATTTGGAATTCTAACCCTATTTAAAGACAAGAGTACAAAAACATCCAGCAAGGAAGAGAGAGTCATGGCTAGGCTCTATTCTCCTCAATTCCCAAAGCATATTCCAAATTCCACTAACATTAACAACAGTTTTGCATCCCCTATCTTAGGGAAGATTTATTGAGGGGACAACGAAGACATACTAATGCTGGAGCTACGGGTACAATGATTCAATGAGGATGAGTCTAACAGGAGACAGACAACATAGGTCATCCTTGAAATCCTCTTGTTGAAAAGACCACAAATAAAAATCAAGTGCATGACAGAACAGTGATTAATGACCCCAAGTAAAATATTTTTCTAAGTTACAAAATTGCTCTTCCAGTGTTTGAAAACAGAAAAACCTGTGGGAGAAGAGGTTACATTCCAACAGTTAGAGTAAATACAAAAAGAAGGTAAATTATTACTCTCTTATCTTGGTTACTAAAGCAAAGATGAAAATAACGACCAGTGCTTTGATAAGATCTGCTCTTTACAAAAGTGAGATAAATATTCTAGTGGCAGCTGGGTTAAAAATACAGGCGCCGAGGGTCAGCTTCTGCCCTCAGCTGTAGATCTGCAACCCATTTCACCGACTTCTGAGCATAGCCAAATGCAGATTGTGGCCTTCGGACTTAAACATACAGGTAGTTCCCATCTGTTTGCAAATAATTCTCCAGCTGTGCATACAGCGGCAGTCTACAAAAATCTCAGAATGTGCATTTGTAAAAAAGAAAGAAGAAAAAAGAAAAAGAGACAGGTACAGTCATGATTCTGATCTCTAATTTTCAGTGAAAAGAAATCAAAGGTCAACAAGCAAATCTAAAGATTTAAAATCCCTGAAGAGACCCCATACTCTTTCTAATGCTTAAGAGCACAGCTCACCTTGCAATATACTTCACATTAACATCTAAAGCACGACCAAGTAGAAAGTGCAGCACACCCTGTCATTACAGAACACAGGATAAGATGCTGGCCCCATTTGAATCAATGTTGAAACTCTCACTAAAAGTTCAAGAGATGCCAGTAGTCAAAACCTGATTGCTACAGACCTCTCCTTTTCAAATTTTTTTTAAAAGACGACATTTTGAAAACTGTTGTGCTCATTTCTGCTGCTGCCTCCCAGGTTACTGAGAGAGGTTGGCTGAACTGGACTTTGGTGATGAGAGATGAGAACAGAAATAAAAGGAGAAGACGTCAGGACAATTGAATAAATTTCCTTCTTTGCACAACTCCAAATCCCACTGTCACCGTTAATTCAGAAAACAAAACAAGCCCAAACAGATTCAAGATTATCATACATGTATGATGTGAAACAGGGCAAACGACACTCAAGACTGAAGTAATATTTTGAAATTAAACAGCCTTGAGCAGTTAGGAGATATGATGAGAATTTTATACTGTTTTAAAACTAGTGGATCTGTTCTATGGTATGTGCTGATCAATAACGCTCTGCTTCCAAACTCCACTACCCGTTCTCTCACATTACAGAAGTTTTAAGACGTTGCCTGAAAATAAAAACTATCAGTGTAACATACAAATAGGATTTCATCTGTAGCCATGACAACACAGCCTTTCCAAAATGACTCTAACCCAATGAACATCTGTCAATTAATTTAAGAAGGGTTGTTTTTTCCTGGCTCATTAATAAAAAAAGTTGGAAATCAACAAACATTATGTTGGCTTTAGCAAGAGGAAACATTCAATGGCTCCTGTTGTACAAGTGAGTGTAGTGCTCTTGACAGAAACCAGTGTATTCAGTCATCTGAAGATGCATGTGATGCCCTCTTTTCTGCCCCCACTCCCAAGTCCCCCAACAAAGCAAGAAAAATTAGTTTCTTCTTCCACCCCACCCCAGATTTTCTCCCATAGTTTGACTACAGTAATCCTTAAACAGGCAGAAAGTTGATGCGTTCTCTTCAGTTGATGCCTCCAACTTCTTCATTCTTGGCTCAAGTTTTATTCATTAATATTAGTCACCAGTTATTAAGAAAAAGATAGTTTCTAAGTGTTTGTTGTTGTTTTTTAACTGAAGTTAATCGGATACCATAGTCTGGTTATATGTGCTGAACTGCAGCTGTCAGTTATTCCTTTTTCTTGAATTCTTGGTTGCCATAGCTGGAGCCTTTTTCTATTTCAGTTACTCCTATCAGTCTACGAACTCCAAAGGAAGCTTTAAAATATAACAGAGAAATGGGAGGCATATTAAAACCAGCTCAAGGATTTAGGAAGTTACACGTAAACACACAAGCAGAACCAACATGAGTTAACCCAATCCCAAAGACAGTAGTGACTAAGGACCAACAGTGCACTGTATGAGGCTGCACGTGGATCACAGGTCAGATGTCACTAAGAGAGGAGGACAACCCAAATTTAAAAATATAATTAATGCTTCTATGTTGATTAACAGGACAGGTAGTATGAACACTGAAGCATATTCCCCCTACCCCCATGTGTGGTTTTTTTGGTTTTGTTTGTTTGTTTGTTTGTTTGTTTTTTTAATTAGGGCTTTTTGTTGGGGGGTGGGGTAGGGGGTTGGGGTTTTTGTATTTGTTTGTTTTTTTGTGTGTGTTTGTTTTTTTTTTAATTCACAGACAAGGTGTGCAGTAAGAGTATTTTCTCCTTCAGGCACCATAATAATGGGCTATGAGACTCACTTGCTATTGATTGCTATAGATATTGCCTAAGATATGAAGGCAAGCCTGCCTGGACTAAAGCTTTTGAAATAATAAAAATGCTATACAATAGAAAGACTACAGACTGAGCTCCAAGTACTCTCCTGCAAGCCCCATTCATATTAACTCTGGGCTTAGCATCTTCTCTGCTTTTATTACCTGCTCCAACAAGTCCCAGGAATGCAAGGATAAGGAGAGGTGATCCACTTGCAAAAACTCCAAAGCCAAATGTGAAGAGAGGAGAGAGGAGAAATGTGGCCCAAAAAAGAAAGTTTAGGAGAGTCCATGGTCTCCTAGGAGGTTTAAACTGCTGGCCAGGAAATATGCCTTCCTGATTATACATCTCTTGCAAAGCATCCTGGGAGAAAGAGAAGATAGAAGAAAACATGTTCATAACGTTTGCACCAAGCAATCCAAGACTAGTCAACTCCAGCACAACGTCAAGGACAGTATCTGTGGTAAATACCCATCAAGAACACACAGCATCCATTTCCATCTGCTGTCATTTATTTGGGCATTTCTGTTGACTGCTGAGGCTACTGTATTAGCCCTTTGAAGGCAATCTTGGCCACCATCAGAAACTGAAACCATATCAGCCTCTCCACTACCAAATACCTTAATCTCTTCTCTTAATTGCTTGAGAAACACTACCCGCCTCTTTGCTGGATGCTTTTTGTTCCCGTTTTTACTTCCAAAAAGGTCAGCACGATTTAACAAAGCACAGCAGAAAAATGCCGTGTAGTACAGCCAGAAGAGGAAGGCAAAGCACAAGCTAACCAGCAGAGACAGCACTGCGCTAGCCATAACCCCAAGACTTCAACAGAGCAGTTGCATCCTGAGCTGAGCGTGCAGAGAGACACAATCATGAAACACATCACTCAAAGGAGCAGCATGCCCACAGTCTTCCCTCAGTTTGTAAGAATGTTCTGTAAGGTTTCCAAGCCAGTACCAAGGATGGCTCCAGTGTGACTATTTCTTATTTTTCCCCACTTAAGCTGTTTTTCTTTTAGCTTCCCTTATAAAAGGCTGAGAAGTGCAAGGCATTCCTTGCCAATAACACAGCCTTTTGAGGACATACCCTTTGTGCGGGAAGAGCACTTTAAGGATTCCAGTTACAACATATTGCTACCACCGTAAGATCAATACACAAAATACCCACATATATAAGTAATACCTCCCCGGCAACACCTCACACCAAAGTTGAACAGAGGTAGAGCCAACACCATCAAGAACACCAAGCCCTCCTCCAGCAAGCAAAGCAGAGCATTCTGCCCAAGGAATGGCGCCAAGCGGAGTGAATGCTCTGTGCTACATCTGCTTACCTCTGCATTTACTGTTTAACAAAGCAGGAGCCAAGCAGAGAAAGACCACCCCGTAACATACACCTTAACGTCTGCTTCTCCAGCCAGGCAATGTCAGAAGGAATTCTTGCATTTAAGAGCCTTTTCACAAGGGAATTACATGATAGCATGCCCCTGATAACAGGAGGTGGGATTCAAGGATCTCCAATTTTTTGGGTTTTTTTTAGGCTCTCTAATCCCATATTACACTAACTGACCCACAAGCTAGTTTGATGCACTGGCTAATTGGAGGTGGGGGGAAGAAGCTGATGATAGCTACTGCTCTTTGTAAGATAACTTCTCTCCCCTTAATTGAATTAGAGCTTAGGTATTCAAACAAATTAGCTTAAAATGAACAAAATGAAATACATAAGAGGACTTCCAGACCCTTACAAACAATCTGCTGCCTACCTACAGACTAACCATAAGCTTGGGAATGCTGCAGAACAGGTCATCATAGCAGAAGAAAGCCCAAGATAGTTAAAAGTTTCTGTGATCCTCTGTTTTCCCACAAAGATAAGCAACACAAAAATTCAAGATACGCATTTCAAGTTCAACAATCCACCAGTTAGGGCTGGGCAACATTAATTACAGTTCTCTCCTCCTCCCCACAGAACCGTTAAATCTGTGGTCAAGACATTAACCATCTACGGTAAAAAAAAGAGAAGACATGAAGAAAAGCTTTGAGCCATTTGAAGGCATGCTGGCCATGTGCTACATCAGTCCCTGGCAGCAGATCCCAGGGACTGTCTGTACCATGTCACACACCACTGCAGAGGTATTACCAGAAGGCAGAAGGAAAGTGACAGTGGAAGAAACATGAAAGTAAAGGACAATTGCCGCTAAGAGCCAGGACCAGCTGTCCCTGACATACATTTATCACTCTTCTTGAATGCCTAAAAACACCCACAGGGAAAATGGAGCTTTCAGAAATGTATGACAGAGACCCAAGAGCTGAAGAATATAAAAAGATGGTGGACTGCTATTAGTCTTCCACAACTCAGGCATATCTCTGAATCCCGTTGTGCTTCCCAGCAGTTTGAGAACTACTCACTAGCCAGCCCTCCGCGGCCAAGGGGCTCTTCTGTACTGCTCCGTCCAGCAGTATGAGGGATGGCTGCCAAATGATATATAGTATTTCCATCTCTTCTCTCCATCCAGTGGAAGAGTGTGCATTACTCAGTGCCTTAATACACTACCCCTGTGAAAGTTCCAATGGACAGAAAAGAAAGCAAAGCTGTTTACCTTTTCCTGGTAAAGCTTATGAAGCCAGTTTGCAGCTTCCTTTTCATCTTGAGGAATATCTTCCAGAGGAAATCTCCTAGTTTAGTAGAAAGAGTAAAAAAGGAAAAAAAAAAAAAAAAAAAAAAAAAAAGGAATTAAGGTAAAATCCAGGTATTTGACTTTAGACCTCTACCAGGGAAGATCTTCCATTCAATGAAGGGCATAATGCAGGTAATACTATCACTGAAGGCAGAAGTCTTAAATGCAGAGAAGAACTGGGACTTAAATAACACCCAATTTTTATAGGATAACTCAGATTCCTAAGACAAAAGAAACTGTACAAGCGCCTATCCATTTCAAAGCACATTAATAAAATAAGCATCTCCCATTCAAACACTGTTCTTCCTTCACCAGAACTGCCACCAGCTGATTCCCAGTGAGCTCAGACTGTGGCACCCAGAGCTGGGAAAAGACAAGAAAGTGGCAAACCCTAGGATAATTGTTTGTTACATTTTGTTAGTGAAAACCCCATTTTGGAAGGAATAGGAGGGGTAGTTAAAAATTCACTTTGTACCAACTCTAAGGAAAACATCTTCTACAGCGACTGCAGTTCTGTCTCCTGGCCTCTCCAGCCCTCTCCAGACTGAGGCATGCAGTTCTGGCTGCATAGGAAAATTATGTCCAGCTGCAGGTACTGACCTGACCTCACCAAGAACAAGCACCTTTTAAAAGCCTCTTTCTAGTGGTGAAGAGCCAACCATTTTCCTGCATTCTTTTATTTTCTGAGATAGGCCATTAACATGCTCACAAATGTATCGTCTCCTTTCTCAGTGGCACACATCTCGGTCCTGGATCAATTCAGAAAGAAGCTGCTCGGTTTCCAGAGGGCAGGCGCACACCTTACCCTTAGCTCAAACATATTTTGGCAACACTTGGACTGTATCAGGGCCCTCTTACCGCAGGGCAGTAAGAACAGAAGGGTAACCTCTGGGAGGGCTCTAGAGACAGTGATCCCAGATACAACTTATTTGCTGCTGTTCAACCAGATTTTGGTTCACCAATCTGTTCACCAGATTTTACAGATTTACTTTCATTAGTTCTAACAGGACGAGCTGCTCAATTAATATAATTAATGCTCAATAAAAGCTCAGTAAATCTTTCCTGAAAGCTCAGTAAATCTTTCCTGAAAGATCTCTGGTAAAGTTGTCGCTGTATTGCTATCACCACTAGAGGGTACTCACAGCAATATCATTTGGTCATATAGCTGATTATTTTCTCTGGAGCCAGTCAGGAGAAAGACTGGATCCTCTGCAGAGAGCTAAGCTTCTTACCTGTACACAGGTAACTGCATACGCATATACCAAGAACAAGAGCTTACGTGCTTCCTTTCTCTGAGCTAAGCTAAGTCTGCTGGCACATTAAGGACACGTTCAATTTTCAGCAAAAAGACTGTAAAAATAGTTTCCTTATGCTTATAGCTTCCTCTCCAAAACTGAAAAAAAACTTCAAGTGTAGAAAAGCATCTTGAGAATGTTGATTCAGTCCACAAACATATTTTAAATCAAAATTATCTAAACATACTCATTTGTTTCTTTAATAGGGTACAATTAGTAATTCTACCTTGCAACATCATCCTCAAGAGCATTTTATGAACCCAAACCTCTTCTAATGACTACTGAAAACTACATTTCTCTTCTTTCCTCCCACTACCTCACCAATAAAGAAAACCAACTTGTATCTCCGTTAGCAAGTCACAGGACATTTAACTGAACACAGCTGCTTTTCAATGTATAATTATAGAGATGTACATCCATGCACGTGTACCCCAGATCTAGCTAGACATGCTACATGCACACCTGCCACCAGTATGGAATTACAGGTGGCAACTGCCTGACCAGCTGTTTTGCTAGCTGGTAAGCGGTCTGCTCGCTTTCCTCATCAGGAATGCATCTGGTAAGTGTAAATAGCCAAAAATGAAACCCCTTGCAAATGAGTGACCCCATCTCTCTCCCCATGACCTCCGCAGCCTTCTTTCCAACTGAAAGACTGACGTGTTGTGGAAGCTGCAGTATCTGAGCACAGACCTGGAACGCGTGTCCTTCCCTTCCCCATTAGGGCTGCAGCACTCTGCCTCTCCTGGGACAGCATTTCTTCCATAAAACCGTTGCTGCTATACCTCCACACAATGGATAATCAGTTTGATTCCCTACAAAGTCTTTCACCCTTGGAGGCTCTGGCAAAACGCACCTGTCCTGTAGAAGGACAACGTATAGAGCCAGTGCCATCCATCTGCAGTGCACAGATCCATGGCCAGAGGGGAAAGGTGTGGTTTTTTGTTTGTTGTTTTTTTTTTTTTTTCCTTTTAAAAACCAAACATCAACCTCATCACCAGAATGTAGAAATGTTTTCCAAAATGTGGGTGAAGTCCCCAGAGAAGCAGAAGTGAACTGCCAAAAGAACTGTGGAAAGAACAACCAGGTCGTTTGTCAGGTCCAAACATAAAAAGGGAAAGAAGAAATTCAACAGGAAAGGGTTGGTAGTTTTTATGATCACAAGGAAACCTTTAAAGCAGAAGGCAACAAGGAAAAAGCAAGAAAGAGAAAGCATGTGTGTGTACATGCTGCATGGAGTTAGGTGTTAGCAGTTACTCTTTCAGGCAAAAGAGTAATGAGGAATGTGAGGAATGTACCACCTCATTCATACGATGTCTGAATTTCAGCATTATTTCACTTCTAATCTGCTAATCAAACCATGTGAGAGAAGGAGAGAAACTGGCACAGTAAAGTGCTTTACACCATTTACTACAAGAGACTACTCATGTTGGACAGGCTATTTATACTATGCATATAGTATATATGCACAGGGGATATATGCATATAGTATATATGCACAGTATATATATCACAGGTGACTGGGAAGGGGGCAGAACAGCTGGTTTTCTGTTCCCAGCAGAGAAAGGAAAAATGTGGACCAGTGCCCTCACTGCACAAAACTTGGGGAAACCCCGTAATGACAATGTGGTCATACCCGGGCTTAAAAAGTCGGCCCAGTGCTCTCTGACTTGCTGGGTGATATCACGGGATCTCATACATGAAAGTGAACTAAAGCAGGGGGAAATGGGGAGCTCTTTGTAGCCTGCAGAGAAGCTTGACGGACAAGGAATAAGGGGACTACAGCAAAGGACATTACCCTGTAAAATCTGAATACACTTCGACATGCCAAAGCATGCATCTTAGGGCTCACCTCCACCATTATATGCTCACCTTACACACATATCTGCTTCATATTTCTTTCCATAAAGAATTCCTAATAAAGACGGGTTCTTGTTTCCTCTGAAATTTAGTGTTACATCATACACTGCTGAAACTGTTACAAAAAAAGAAAATATGGCTGTTATATCAGCAATTCTAGCAACCACGTTGCCAGCATCCTTGCATTAGACATCAACAGGGCCTTGTGCACGGCTTGCATTAATGTCAGGTAGCAGAGTCCTTCACTACTTCGTGTTTACATGTTGTATTTTTCTATATCAGCCACCTGACATTCCCATCTATGTAGCATGCGTGTTATCAAAACACAAGACAACTTGACGAACTAAGCAACAATGACATACATGAAAGGTTTATTATTTTTTAAGACTGGTACCTGAAAGTTATGTGGCACAAATTAACGGCTGACATACTGAATGCTTATCACTGCCAACTCACTAATTGTAATGGACGCAATAAACAATAGAGTATACTACGCTGTGCTACACGGAGTATACTAAACAACACATTACAATGAATGCAAACAAGTAGCAGCTTGCCAGTACCTGTTCCCCTGAGACACTGGACAGCAGTGGTGAAACCTTTGGTTCTGGGCAACAGGTGGTATTTCAGTTTAGGCAGCCCCTTGGATTCAGCTACCTCCATACTGATACGATGCTTGGTCTCTGTAAAACGAGTTCCTTCACAGTACAGGAGAAACTAGTACAATGAGACAAAAGGCGAAAACAAGGACATCTTGTGATCACAAGAAACCAAGCAGAACACTGAAAATTTGTGTAAGATAAACATACACCCATGCATGCACACACACTTCAATTGTCTCATTTGATCGTCAAATATTAGGCGTAAGCACCACCTCACAACTCATTTACAATTATATTTAATTTCAACAACACTGGTACCAAATTTAAGGCGACAAAAAGTCTAAAAGGTTATACCTGTAACATCTACTTAAAAAAAAAAGAAAAATTCATGAAGACTTTGGCTGGCTGGTGATGGACTAATCTAGAAATCACAAAAAGCAATCCAAATACCAGTACACAACCACTTCAGGAAAGCACATATTAATCACTAGCTAACTCATTTAAAATTTGTACTGTACAACCAGAATTACTCATCTGAAGACAGACTTGTTTGTCTGAAAGCTTTTGTTTGTTTTTTTTTATTTGTTGTTTGGGTTTTTTTGTTTGGTTTTTTGTTTTGGGTTTTTTTTTCATTTGCATCAGTTGTGTTCATAAAAATGGTGCCTTTCCCTAAAACCTTTACCTTGTTCATCTTGTAAGGCACCAATCTGACTGTGGTATCCTAAGTAACTATTAAAGACTTAAATCCTCCCATACTGACTTCAAGCAGCACAAAACATCGATCTGTCTTTTTCCAGCCTCTCTATTGCCTCTGCTCTAGTTGAGAGAGAGAGAGAGAGAGACAGACCAGAAGCAATGCAAAGCCAAGAGCAGACAAACAAAGCCCTTCTGAGGGCCCTAGGGTGATTTTCTGTTTATCCCTGGCCTTTCTGAAAGGTGGACATCATTCCCATTGCGCCAGCATTGGAAAACATGGCTGCATTTGAACGCACAAACCTCTGCATCCCTGGCAAGCAATGGAGAGGGAGAAGAGCAGGTTGTTACTCCTCTCTCACAGCAGTATCACGCAACGGTGTAACGTTGCAATTCAAAAGAAAGAGACTTGTCGAATGCATCACCATACATCTGCTATTTGTCAGTACTGTGGTTGCTTGACTTTTTCTCTGTAGTGTATCCACATACTGTGCACCACGAAAGGTAAGTTAAATGAATGTTAAAACTGCAAAGCCGTAGACACGAGAGTTAGACCTGCCAGAGTGCAGCGAGGGAACGGGAGCCGGTCCTGCCATCTTCGTTTGGCCCTTGAGGGGGCGTTCATTATGAAAATCTGACCAACTGTCGTGGTTTAACCCCAGCCAGAAACTAAGCACCACGCAGCCGCTCGCTCACTCCCCCTCGCCCCAGTGGGATGGGGGAGAGAATTGGAAGGGTAAAAGGGAGAAGACTCATGGCTTGAGGTAAGAACAGTTTAATAATTGAAGTAAAATAAAATAGAATAGTAGTAATAGTAATAATAATATAATAATACAATAATAATGATGGAACAGCCTTTTGGCCAGTCTGGGTCAGCTGTCCTGGCTGTGCCCCCTCCCAGCTTCTTGTGCACCAGGCAGGGCATGGGAAGCTCAAAAGTCCTTGATTTAGAGTAAACACTACTTAGCAACAACTACAACATCAACATTATTCCCATCCTAAATCCAAACCACAGCACTATACCAGCTACTAGGAAGAAAATTAACTCTATCCCATCCGAAACCAGGACACCAACCATCACCACCAAGTGGTGACGACAGCACAAGGTACAGAGTATAACACTGCAATCTCAACCCCAGTCTGCAGCGCAAGCTCTTTCTTCTATACCAAACTCACCCTCTGCTACTCAACGGTGCAGCGATCCTTCTGGACCAAGTACGCGAGCGAGGTATAGACTGCACTGCAGTGCACGTGTGAGAAAGACCTCACGAAGGAAGGTTGCACAGCCAGGCCTAATTGTGGCATTTAGAATGCACAAAAATTAGAAAATTGATTTACTCAAGTCAATTTTAATCATGATTTAAATTACCAAGCAGGAAGTCTTGATTTAAATAATCAATGCTAACTACGTTTTGCATTTGTATTTTCTAGTTGTTTTCCCTAGAGACTAGTCCTTGGTTCTCAATCGTAGAATCATTAAAATGTATAGATTTGCAACTGAATTACAGTCTTGAGATTTTTTAATTGGTAGGGTTTTTTCTTTTTTCTTTTTCCAACACTAATCAGGAGGATATATTTAATGTAGTTCATATCCATATATTCAAGCAATTAAGTAGTTTAAAATACATTTTCCAGATTCTTATTTTTTGTATCTTTGTCATGATAGAAAATCACGAATGACGCATTCACAATGTACTAGTTATAGAATCATAGAATTGTTAAGGTTGGAAAAGACCCTTAAGATCATCAAGTCCAACCGTTAACCTAGCACTGCCAAGTCCACCACTAAACCATGTCCTCGAGCACCACATCTACCCATCTTTTAAAGACCTCCAGGGATGGAGACTCAACCACTTCCATGGGCAGCCTGTTCCAGTGCCTGACTGCCCTTTTGGTGAAGAAGTTTTTCCTAATATCCAACCTAAACCTGCCCTGGCGCAGCTTGAGGCTGTTTCCTCTCGTCCTATCACTTGCTACTTGGGAGGAGAGACCGATCCCCACCTCGCTACAACCTCCTTTCAGGTAGTCGTAGAGAGTGATAAGGTCTCCCCTCAGCTTCCTCTTCCCCAGGCTAAACAACCCCAGCTCCCTCAGTTGCTCCTCATAAGACTTGTGCTCCAGACCCTTCACCAACTTCGGTGCCCTTCTTTGGACACGCTCCAGCACCTCGATGTCCTTCTTGTAGTGAGGGGCCCAAAACTGAACACAATACTCGAGGTGCGGCCTCACCAAGGCCGAGTACAGGGGCACTATCACCTCCCTGGTCCTGATGGCCACAATGT